GCTACATATACAAAAAACATATACCCATGAGGCCTGTATTCTCTCAAACACATTATGCGCAATGTTTTTTCAATTGAAAAGTTCCATTGTCTCCGAAACTACTCATCAGATCACAAAAAAAACGGGACCGTCTCGCCAAAACAGAATCGTCAAAATCGTACACAAATCTCGAAGATATGCGCGAACGCTTATGCGCTTTTTGGAGTAAACTCAACGATAAGTAAACTACGTAAAATGTAAAGCAGCAGCTTCGACCACCATTGCTTTTGGATCACGTTCAGCGGCCGTGGCAGGTCAGTGCTGAATCAATCACGGACTGATCCACATACAGCCTGATTTTACTCGCGATTTTTGGAATTAAGCCAAAGTGAACCTTTGAGATTTGAAGTCATTAAAACGGAAACAGCCTATTTTAAAACAAAAAGAATATATTATTTTGACACAGATAGATACGAGACCAAAATTTTAACAGACAACGAAAAACAAACGATAAAGATAACAGATTATTGCATTTTAAGCATTTAACTCCTAGATGTTAAACATCATTTAACTACATGGTTCAATTTAAAGAAAACATCACAAGAAAAATCTTCCACTCAGTCCAGGTTAATTAGTTGAGAATGAAGATAACACTTAAGATTGTATTTGGCTACAGTATTTATCTCTTTTTAGTTTAACGAATGTGACTTTAATGCAAATTGTGCTTTGCATGACATTCCCTTTTTTGTGGTAGAGTATTACTTATTTTTCTTCCGGTTGCATTATAGGACCATAATGCGACTCCATTACGCTCTTAGTCTAAAATGGTGTGAACTGAGGTTTATTTTGTTTAGAAAAATATAACGATATTTAAATTAAAAAGGATATTTCTCTCTGAACAAACTAGAAAGTCTGGGAGTTAGGGGCAGACAGCTATCACTTTTCCGCAGCTATCTCACTGATCGTTATCAGTGTGTTACTGTTAATGGTATCAAAAGCTCTGACTGTCACATAGAATGCGGAGTACTGCAGGGAAGTATTCTCGGCCCAACGCTCTTTCTAATTAACATCAATGATCTGTCTTGCTGATGACACTGTGCTGATTTTCTAATCTGGCTCATGGAAGGAGTCCATCACGCCCAGTATGGCCTCGATCTGGTATCCTGCTGGCTTTGAAATAATCTTTTGACCTTGAATATCGTGAAGACCCAATGTATGATAATGTCAATTAAAAATATTCAATCAAAACTAATTAAGGATCTATCGATAATAGCCCATTGCCATCCTAAGCCTTCAATAAATCCACATGCCTGTCCTCCGTCAGAGGCATATGGGACTGTTAAATATCTGAGTGTCATTGTGGATTCCAAGCTACGTTCTTTGCCTATGTAGATTAGATCTTATTGCGGGTAGAATGTACGTCTTTAAAACTCTTTGTCATGTAGCTCATTTGGGTCTGTTCCTATCTGTATATAAAGCCCTTTTTGAATCCATCCTAACATACTGCATCAATTCGTGGGGTGGTACCTCTAAATCGATCTTAATAAAGCTCGAAAGGGCGCAAAGAGCCGTACTTAAAATATGTATTAAGAAACCTACTTTATTCCCAACTACAGAACTTTATCAAAAATGCCAAGTTTTAAACGTTCTACAGTTATTTACACTTAATACTGTTCTCAAACAACACAGCGCGATGGATTCCTCCTTGCACTCTGCTCAGCGTAATCATCTTGTAGCTGCCCCGCCTCTGTGCAGAACTACTTTTGCACACCGATTCTTTTATTTTCTGGGACCTTACTGCTATAATTTGCTGCACTCAAAATTAAACATTATCTACTATACCAACAGAAATTGTAAAATCTTTGTTACTAAATTTTTACATTTCCTAATAAACATAGAAACGGATGATTTATTACACCTCCATAGGTAGTTAAACCTCACCTTATCCCTCTCACACTTTCACATTTGAATTAAGTATATTTACTTGCATACTCGTTATAACATTAAAGCAAGTTGTTACCTGTATGTGACTTGTTTTTATTTTAAGCGTAATCGTGTCACTATTGATAAAACAAAAAAAAAAGAAAATCTTCCTATACCTACAATTTAAATGTAAGACCAATGACTTATAATTTGTTCACTGTTCATTCTCCAGGGGAGGGAGAGTCCTGATGCTCTGAGATATAGGCGTTTCGTCTAGTTCAGGTACCAGTCTCTCACAATCTTTTTTACTGGACGTATATAAAATTTATATTATAATAAGTTGTCATGTGATTTGTAGATTGTGAAAGAAAAAAAAAGATTATTATTATTCAAGCTGTGTACGAAAAAACAGCAAAAATTCAAAATATTAGGTTGCTGCCGCAATATTAAGAACTATAATGGTATAACCAGAAAAAAAAATAATCGACGAGGTGGAAAACACATGTCAGCATAATGGTAGAGATTGACGTTTTTTCAAAGCATTGTTAAACGATTTTTTGTCAAAAATAAAGTGAGTATAAGGTACGGATTAAAACGGATTACGCTTGGTCCATATTACAAACACTTGACTGGCGCATCACGTACTTCATAAATTTCACACTTTCGAGTTTAGATTTGTAGGACAAATGTCGAATAACTAAAGTTCGCCTACTAATATGTAAAACACCTTTTTGTTTCCATGTTCAATGTATAGATATTATTTTAAATTCGAATTCCTATCAAAATGCAAGGAGGAAAGAAGAAGGACGAAATCAATGCAAGAAAGAATTTAACTAATATAGAATTAGATCATTGTATTATTTAGGTACGAGTAAGTTGGTTCTGTTACAAAACTTTCAAAAGGTAATATGATGAGCTGTGGCACGTTCATGACGATATTGGAGTTGAATTAATGTATCTTATTAATTGGTTTTGTATTGACACTGTAACAATTTAATATTTGACAACTGACAACGACAGCGTTGTCGTTGTAGTGCCCGCGCACTCTGCAATCCAAACGAAGGACTTCCTGGACGCCACACCAGTCAGAGTCTTGGGACACTCTCCTTACAGTCTTGATTTGGCTCCGTGTGACTTCTTTTTATTCCCTAGAAGTTAGTTTTTTAGTTTCTCAAAACTTTCTAAGTGTCCCATGTATTGTCATATATTTAACACTGTGGAGTATTTTTAGCCTGTTTTTTTCCACAGCTAAAATTACTCATAACAGATGGTAGCGAAAAAATTTAACGATACAATTATTATTAGATTATTACAATTTATTACATTACAATTATTTATTAGATTACGGTTGTATTATGCTTCCAATATGAATCAAGAAATTATGACTTTGACTTTTGACTAGGAATCAATTAGAAAATTGACGAAGCTCTCTTTATACGGCGACTGTATTTTTCTTCTCATGAAGATGCACCACAAACGGCATATTGCTTCTTTATCCTACATAATTTTATCCATGGAAGTTGAACCTTACTAACGGTAAAATATTAACATAATTTGAAGTTTAGTATTGACTGTCGTAAATTATCCTATTTTGAACAGACAAATGTTATTCATAAAACAAAACATTATTTGATACGTTTAGTTGATTGGTGTTTGGGTGCTTTGTTCGAAATAGTGGTCAACTTAATGACGTCAAAGTTTCTGAATCCTTACTTAGTAGGGTGACCGTGATTTTTAGCTTTCGAGAATTAGATCTTGGATGTGTTAGTTTTTTTAATAATATTTATCGAACTACTTAAGAGATGCTAAATCAGCGGAAAGTTCCAAGCGCTACATTAAAGAAGTCCTAAATTTTCTAGTGTTTATTGATTAATTAAATGACTAATGGTTTGAACTGGTTTCAATCTGATCTAAAATTTCCTTTTTCTACCTACTATTCACTTTAAAAAATTCGTGGTGTACTGCAAACGTCTCAGGGCTAAAGCACCTATATAATACCTGTCCCCATAGCATGAACACCGCGATACGATATATTGCTCGTTATTATCACGCTAAATTGTCCAATAACTATGGAGTTTGACACGATTAAAACGTGATATAATGTTAATCCTGGTGCTCATGCTACGGGAATGAGCCACTTTGACTAGATACACAAAGACGAGCGATTTAGATCGTCGATTCGATTGGGATCATCCAAAAAAAACCCGTCTGAGTCTTTACAGCTGAATGGAGACTTTGGTTTCTTATATGTATTTTATGAGATCTTTCATGGTGAGATCTTTAAAGATTGTTTGAGTTGATGTTACATCATTTTATCATGGCGCCGTAATAGAATGAGCTCTTTTCCACGGTGTTCTCCGCTATAACATGGTTCTCTTCTAGCCAAGACGTCAACCCTTTAGAAGAAGTTTGTTTCGCGAAAGGCATAGCTGTGTTTATTATATGACGATGACCACTCTAGACATCGGCAGTCCCGTCTGCTCGTCAGTCTTCGCAGACAACAAAAAAAAACTAAGACAGCACCAGCATTAAACTTGGCCACCCTACCCTAGCCAAATGACATTCATCGTTATGTGGTCATGTGTTCTGTGGCCAATGTTGTCAGTCCGAGCGCATCTCGGTGTGGTGTAAGTCCATTTGCGGGCGCGCCAAAACTTCACCTTTGTAACTAACGCAATGCGTCAGCCGTGCGCGCAATTTGAGATTTGAATTTTTCGTTTTGTACTTTTCATTTATATTTAAATTTACAGTTTTTTTTAATTCACACTAAGAAGCGACCATGTGGAAGTGTATTATTTTCGTGCTTGCGGTGTCGACTTTCACTTGTTCTGAGGTTGGTGTCAATTGGATACTTTCATTATCAGTGTCGTATTATTTATCTTAAAAGCCTTATCATTATAGAAAATCCGACTATAGTAAACATAAGGTTTACTTTGCAGAAAGTGTTACTTCGTTATTTTTTATTCTGTAACCTCGACAACCAAATGACAAACGAACATCAATAGTGCGGGATTCGATTCCTGCTTATTTACTTTACGTGTTGTAAAGAATATATCATTCCTTTGTAGCGTGTGATTAGCTATTGCTTATTTGCTTAGGGAGATGAAATTCGAGATACTCGTGGGGTGTACACTAAGAACATCTTCGGTGGAGTTTGGGGGAATCGCCCGCCTCTTATGGAGCTGAACCAACCGAGAACAACATGTACTTGCAGTCAGTATTTTCTTTCTTAATATATTCTAAATATCCCATTTATTTACCATTTACGAATGTCGTGGTCGTGGAGACATTTTGTAAGTTATCCTCAAATACCAAAAGTTTTTGAAGGATTCATAAGAGTTCAATTATGCATCCAATTTGAATAAAGAAAGTTAAACTTTGGTAAAATATCTGAATCATAAAATTATACATAAATACAAAACATCTTACATTTTCGACAGATATCAAAATCACAAAAAACTCATAAAGACCAAATTTTTGTTTCAAAGATTTTTGTATTAAGCATTGTTTTCTTAATTTTAGTGTGAATCTTAAGCCTAAGAAAATATAAATATTTGTTTGTGTTATGATATATGTAGGGCATAGCGGATTTCCCGCTCGAATTGGAGCGCTGTCTGGGGAATTACTTAACTTGTACCACCTTACAGTAAAATAACAGTACCTTTTAGTGGTGTTATTATTTAAGTTAAGGTAGGCAACGGCGTCAGCGATAGCTTCGTAACGCAAGCGTCTATACAGGGGTGCTCAAACGGTCGATCGCGTTCGACTGCATATATCTATATATGCTACGGTACACCCTACCTAGGTAGGTAGGTGGGGTATATCGTGTATGTACGACAACCTTGCATCGCACATACTTGCAGCCTCCCAGAGTCGATCGTAAGTAGTCTAAAAATTTTGAGGTAGATCGCTATCAGTTCAAGTTTAAGCACCCCTGGTCTATTGGCTATGGTAGCCGCTTATCTAGCTATCTTTTTCGGGCGGGCCATATGCTTGTTCACCACCCACTTACCATATAAAAAGCTAAATGGCGCACTGGTTAGTTAGTGTTTGGATTGCAATCGTGGATGCTATGCGACTTTCGCAAATTATTAAATATGATAATATATTAATTGATTATTATTTTATTATATATTATATTAATTATTAATTATTCGAGTCCCGTCTGCTGCCTGGTCCGCGTGGATTTTTTTCTCGTAATATTTTCTTTAGATTTAAACATCAAGCAGTTACATGCTTAAAAAATAAAATTATAACTATAATTGCTATTTCTTCTTTCAAATGTTTAATACTTGTAAAAGTATTCATTTGATATTGTAGGTTACCTATAATGCGTAGAGGTGGCGCTGCCTTGCTTAAGAATGGCTGAGGAATTTCGACGAGGACGTCAGGGCCGCGGTAGCATAATTGGTCAGTGCATTTGCCCTGATAGCGATAGAGTCCCGTCTGCTGCCTAGTCCGCGTGGATATTTTTCTGGTTATATTTTCTTTAGATTTAAACAACAAGCAGTTACATGCTTAAAAAATAAAAATTATATATATTTGTGATATATAGGTATATTACTATACATATTTTTGTCACCAATCCTATGACCTGTCATAGATTATCTTGTGCTCCACCGTACTTCAGAAGGCATGTTAAACCGTTGGTACCGGCTGCCAAAGGCAGTCAGCCTTTGGTGGATCATGACCCGTGTTGCCTCTCCCATGCATCAAGAAGGGTTTTGACCCAGTAGCACAAAATACATAGTAGTACCTACTCCAGTAGTAAGATTAATAAACTGATGGTAAACAATCTGACATGTCAATAATTTCAAAAAGATAAATTTAAAAAAATAAAAAAACCCGACTGCTTAATTATACTTCAAATAAAAACTGAAAAGAAAAAAACAAGTCCAGTAGTCTATAATTCTGTTAATAAGGAACAAAGCTACTTTAACAGTCGGGACCCACTGTTGAAAAATATTATGTATTCTTGAATATCTAATGGTTCCCGACTGTTAAAGTAGCTTTGTTCCTTATTAACAGAATTATAGACTACTGGACTTGTTTTTTTCTTTTCAGTTTTTATTTGAAGTATAATTAAGCAGTCGGGTTTTTTTATTTTTTTAAATTTATCTTTTTTATTTCACACTTTTTAGTTAGTTAGTGTTTTAAGACGGTATATACCGTAGTCTTGTTACTTCAGTAAGGGAATTAATATCGCGGGAATTATTAAGTACCTTGCGTCGGTCTAAAAGATTGATTTATTAAGACATATATATATAGAGACTTTACCAGCGAGGTCAAGGCTACAATCAATTTTCGCAAAAATGTGTGAAGTTAAATCAAGTCGTTACATAAATATCTCTAATGTGTGTTAATTTTATAGTAAACTAGCACTTACTCAAAAAGTCATCTTTTGTTTATGTTTTTTTTAATAGTTTAGCAGTAAATATAAAATTCATTTACTTTTATTCGTCGACTATTTAAAATTAGTAGTGGCTGCATTGTCATGTCAATGCCGGACGACTAAGATTGTGATATACACAAATGCAGTGTCAGTCCCTAGTGTCATAATTTGATATACATACATAATTCACAGAAGCCCTATATGTAGATGCCAGAAGTTAACTTCAAATGTTTTTAATCACCCTATAAACAATACCAATCAATGACGTTTATGTCGCAGGTTGAAGAAAGCAGTAATTCCCGTTTGTTGTTTTGGACAATGGTGGCAACTGCCTTAGATCACTAAATTAAATAATTGTGCAATCACCAAAGCAAAGTTTATAATATTTGATTTAACTAAAGGCGCATAATAAAATTTTCATAACGTTAGGTACCATAGCAATCTCATTTATTATCAATTTATAGTTCTCTTTGTAGTTTTCTTCTAAAGCGTTCACATATAACAGGTCAAGGACTTTGTGATCGACCCTTTTTTATTGGTAGTGTAAAGCTCGAATGAAGAGTACTCCCAGTAGTGCAATCATGGCAATTATTTTCCAAATTTTTTTTTGTTTAAATAAATACCGAATATCGTATCACTGTTAAGCACAAATGCTAAGTAACTTTTACAAATATAATCAAATAAACCTATTACTTACTTTATTTTTAAATCTTTTGCATCAATGAAATACTTATCTTATCCTAACTATCTATACTAATATTATAAAGAGGCAAGATTTGTATGTTTGTAACAAATAGTCTGTCAAACTACTGAACCGGTTTCGAATATTAATTCATCATAAAGTAGCTACATTATCTGTTATTACATTTTTCTTTATTTAAATACATTTTGTCCGAGTGACATAGGCTATATTTTATCCCGATAAATAAATTTCGCCCGTAAAATGCCCGGGTGGATCATTAGTAAGTATAATATAATATTATAGATGCGAAAGTGAGTTTGTTTGTTGCGCTTCCGTGCCCTAATAGCTAAATCGAATATAGTGAATTCCCATATAGAAGTAGATGGGAACTTGGTTCTTAGCTACAACATCGCAATACTTATAGGCGTAGGGTGATGAAAGGGATGATTTACCTATAAAAATCTACATTATTTACTTTGAATTTTGCAGAATTATTACAAAACCAATATTATCGGGAGCTGATTAATAAATACAGGGATTCCAATAACTTACGTATGTACTTACTAGCGAAAAATGGGTTATTTGTCATTATATTAAGTAAACCTTTTTTGTAACATTAAGTAATATCGTTAAAAAAATGAAAAACAGTAGAATTCTGAGTTTTTCATTAAAATTCATTAATCATAAATACCTATTATGATAATATATTTTTCATCATTTAATAAGAAGGAATTGTATCACAGTTTTATTGTTAGTGCTTCGTATAGCGTCAGATACTGCGAATAGCCCATTTTCTTTTTCTTTTACATAGTACACCACACTATCACTTTGTTATCGTTGTAACTTTTTAAATATTTGTCGAACTGACATAGTGTAAAAAGCAAAGTTTATCGTCTTTAAATATCAAAAGCGATAAAAGTATTTGTTTTGATAAAAAATGATTTGTTAATACAAAATGTGCATTTTGGAAATAGATATCAAATAATATTTTAGTTTTGATTCACTATTTTAGCGGTAATGACTTACACATTAAAAATAGATATATGGTGTCACGGACTTGTTTTTAGAACTATTTAAGAGATACATTTTCATTCTACATTATATTCATGTAACTTTTATTGTTTTTGCAGTGCAGGCCAAAATAGCTCGCAGATGGGAGATTTTTTTCCGTCTTATGTGACACTTATAGTTATATATTGGCTAATTCACACAATAACTACAGAAATTATTACATATATGTAATTATCATATATGAGCTATATTACTGTTAAGTTTCATTAAAATCCATTCAGTATTTTTTAGGTGAAAGAGTAACAAAGATCCATACAAACGTAAGATCGAGATTAAAAGCAACTTTAAAGCGTTGTAGATCCTAAACAATCAAATTAAATGAAAAATGGTGTTAAGAACCTAAATATGATTTTTGATTATCTAGACAGTGATACCCCACTCGACATATTTTGTAAACTTATTTTTTTTACTTCGTCACAATATGGCGCCCAATTTTGCCCATATTGAATTTTAATTACTATCATATCTTTAGTAGCACTCCCATAATTGAGACAAATCGATTGATGTATGAATCATCAAAATCGGTCCAGGCGTTTGGTCTCTAGTGTGCCACAAAGGAACAAACATACATATATAGACTGTTAAACACATAACCCTGTCTGCGCGTCGCGCTTCGCGCTCTTGCATTGCGCAGCCGGGTAAAAATTTAGCATGTATGTACAGGAAATTATAAGTATCTATATAGTGACCACGACTTCGTCTGCCTAGAAAAATCAATTCACTGTTTTACCTATTATTTTTTTAATTTATTTATCACCTCTTCTAATTTCGAAACAAAATGTCCCTTATATTAGCATACCAAAATCCATCCAAAAGGTCCAGCGATTTGAGATTTTGTAATATTACCTAGTGTAATTGTTAAAACTACCTAGGAATTGGTTGGGGTACTGTATTGTTATTTTTCTTTAAACGCCACTCACGCACATTGTTATTTCTTCACATTGAAAATATTAGTAAAATCTTCATTGTACTATTAAATATATTAGTTATTTTTCACTGAAATAAATACCACTAAATATTATTTAATTATAGGGAACTGTACCCCTAGCACGAACCATTATCGAATTCGAATAGTTTGCAAACCGAAATGTCAATGTCAAATTTTGTATGGAAATTTGAACAGCAGCGGCACAAAGTACGTAACGAGAACTAAAAATCAGTACAGATTTGACAATGACATTTCGGACTCGCAAACGATACGAATTCGATATTGGTTCGTGCTAAGGGTACAGATACTATTTATTATCACCCTTAAATACTGAATCAACATGTATGTTTTCAGAGTGCGGCGAAAGAAATGAGGTGTCCCGAATCGTAGGAGGCGTCGAGGCGGGAATCAACGAGTTCCCGTGGATGGCGCGCCTCACGTACTTCAAGAGGTTCTACTGCGGCGGCATGCTTATCAACGACCGATATGTGCTCACCGCTGCACATTGTGTAAAAGGGTCAGTATCATTGACAATATCGTCATCAGCCTTCTACTCTCCCAACTGGAGCACAGTACCCTTAGTATGACTTTAACAATTACGGAAACTATGATAGTTTTCGTGAGCTCGAACTCGTACTAAGGGTACAGGCCTATGAATATAATAGAGAGAATAGGCATCCATCACAAAAGTGCAGTGCAAATGCAGCGATTTAACGTGCGGTCCGAAACATAGAGGATGAGCTTGACATAGTTATCAAAATTAAATATAATGAAAACGAATTGAAATGAATAAGTAAATTTATTTATGAACTCATATTTTCCTAAATTTCATATTCAAATAAATTTCTGGTCACCTATCATATGACCGGGCATTGCGAAAGGTACTTAACTTCCACACCGAGCTCCTAAAGTACAGAAACCAAATGTAGAAATCCTTTTGCGAAAATTTTCGATTCTCCTACAATACATTAAATATTTCTTGTTTTACTGAAGATAAAATGTAAGTGCCCGGTGGGATGCTTGATATGTTTGAGTTGCACTCTTCATAGTATAATGACATGCTAAATGGTAGTATTTCATATATCGGAGGATATATCACCGGTTCTTCAAGCACACTACTTTCACAAGTCCTACCGGTAACCTCTACGTGTAAAATTGTCAGTATATAAATGCATGAATACGGTAATTATTTGAATAATATTTCCAAGAAGCATATGTACCCACCTCAATATTTAATACTTTATTACAGTCTATATAAAATCTGATTGATTATTCATAATGTATGTATTACTTTATTAAATATACTTTTGTTTATTAAAGGTCCTAATAGGCAATCCTTATCATATAGCTCTATAATTAAAAGACACAGTTAGATAAGTAAATATTAGGAAAACAGAAAAGAAAACACTACATAATAGATATATTTTTAAGATGTGTCGCAATTTAAATACCATTAAGGTTAATAGAAAAGAAACAGATTTGGAGGGACTGTGAACGACACACAAAATCTGGGTTAATGAACAATTAACGGCAATTTAAGTATGGAAAAAATTATACACAAGTGCGTAGGGCTGAATCATCCCGAAAAAGATATAAAATTAAGACCGTGCAAGTAATAAAAATGTGTTTATACTACACAAGGGTGTGACAAATTTAGAACGCTACGTAAATGCAGATTATTGGTAAGTGAAGATGAAATCGTTAATCATGGTTAAAACGAGTCCGATAACCCAAGTATAAATTAGCAAACGAGTCCAAAATAAATCCGATTTTGTGAATTCCAATTCCGTCGGTATCATTTGGTGCGTTCACCTTCAAACCGGACTCGGCAGTGCGAATTTAAAAGTTCATTATCCTTTGAATATCGCCGTTTTCGATATTTGTGCCTTCATTGCCAACATTTGTTTTAGGGAAATCTCACGGTTGTGGATATGCTAAATGCGCAATAATTTGTTATTTGGATAGCTTTCGTTCTAAAGTTCGTTTTGCACTGTAACCATGTTTAAGAATCTACCAAAACCAAATGTAAAATATGGGAGGTGTTGTGTAAAGTATTGTTAGTTGTCATTCTTCAAAAATAATGCTCATACATTATTTTTTATATTTTTATATATGTTGGCAACGCATTGTGATGCCTGGGAAACTCTGTAGGTACGAGTACCTACTTAAGGGAATTATGGTTCAACATTTTAGGTTAAAGCTGCGTGTAGCGTTATACGTACAGTAGCATATTTATTAGCATAAATAAATGTATCGCAATCGCCAACAAAACTTGTAAGTATTGAAAGAAATGCGCCAATACATAATTTTTTACTCATACACGCGATTCAAAGCTTATCAATTACTAATATTATGTGTGTTATTAACACAAACGTTTGTTCCGATCTTGTTACAAAAAACTAGTCTGATGATTAACCTTTTAAATAAAACAAGTTTCAACGGTATAAGATGCATTAAATTATTTGTTTTTCGACGTTTCGCAAAATAAATTTCTCAGCTAATATGGTATTTAATGCTTTCACAAACATTCACTAAAAATTTGCTTTTCACCGCGTTTAAATGTTAAATTTCGATTTATTTCAACAAAAGGTTTCATTAATTTATCTGAATTAAAATTTAATGGAAAACGAACAGATACAGAAGCGAGTGAAAGTGCTAATGAGGCATTAACAGTATGTATGCACGGGGACAGCTCCGAAACATTGAGTCACTTTCGCCCAATACCAACAATACAAACGAACCATTGTGTAATTGGCACCGTTACATATTGTGCCGATTGAGGATGAATTGAATTATTTAGAGGCGGAATTAGAAATGTGCACTACGCAACAGATGTTCACTTTCCTCTTAGTATTAGATTTGCGTCACACGGGCTTTCGTTTATCTGTTAAGAATCGCAATTAAAAATCAAAAGGGATCGAAGTAGAATAAATGGCCCTCGTGTGTAGTGTTGACATTGTTTGATGACAGTGACATGTTGACAGTGGCTACCGCGTAGTTGAGATTAGATGGGTGCTTATTTTTAAAATTTTAATTTGGAAATAGAAATGCTTTGAAAGTCGCGATAAACCGTAAGTCCCGAATACATTTGCAATTGGTTGACTCCCACCAATCCGTATAAGTCCGCTAAGCGAGTCATGCATAGCCTATCCTCCACAGCAGTGGGGCTTTAAATAGGCTCATGATTATTGTGTTGATAAGCTCAGGGTTTTGTGTTATATTATTATAATGAGAAGGAAATTAGCAATATCAAAACACACCTACTTACGATCATGTCATAATAATAACTATAAAAAAAACTATCATCATCATCTTATTTCATGTCTTCACTACAGAGGCACATGCCTTCCCTCTGGATGGAATAAAGAAAATAGGGCCTTGATCCATCATGCTGAACTCTTGCGGATTAGTGGGTGCTAACGACTGCAGATGCAGCCGGGATCAACGGCTTAACGAGTCTTCGAAACACGGAGGAGCCCGACATAATAAGTTTTTGGTCACCCATCCAATGACCGACCACTGCGAAAGTTGCCTAACTTCAACGAAATGACTAAGCATTTGCGCCATCGAGCTTCCCTTCCATAAAAATCCATAATGATTATTAATTTAGATGAACTTGATAGTCCAATGATTAACTATATCGAGTTTTTGGATAGGTGACTAATAATAACACCATCATTCAGGTTCAACCAAAAAATCATCATCTTAATTGGTCGGAAAATTTTGGAGCAACAATTAAAAGGTAGTGTTAGTTTATTGTAGTCTTTGAGCCAATTAAATCCGAGCGGGTAATCGACTATGCTATTAGGTAAATCATCAAAAAAATGCCTAAGTTACATATAATTTTCTATAACTTCTTCTTATTTATATCTAACAATATTTTTTAAATTATTTTCAGCTTCATGTGGTTCATGATAAAGGTGACATTCGGCGAGCACAACCGATGCAACTCGACGACGAGGCCCGAGACCCGCTTCGTGTTGCGCGCCATTGCGAACAAATTCACTCTCTCCAACTTTGACAACGACATCGCTTTACTGAGACTCAATGAACAAGTGCCCATCACTGACGCCATCAAACCTATATGCTTGCCTTCTATTAAAGGTAATTATTGGTTGTAATTATCAGACTGCATTAAATTCTGAAACAGAAAAAACTATCCGGAGGAGGAGACGATGAGCTAGATGGAGCAGTTTTGGACCGTCACAATTTCCGACAGAATGGGTGACCAAAATTTTATAACATACAGCTTCTTCGTTCTGTAGTCATCAATATCTACAATTCGGCACTAGACTTATATGCCTGTTCTCGCTCCGTCGTTCGGCAGGATCTTGCAGATGGGTACATTGATAGGCTGATGATAATGATTACAAAACAAAAGAAGTTTGATAACTTCCGTAGTCAAAATTCAACCCGTTTAAGCCAAATAAAAACTCTTTTCTAGTGGGTTGAATAAAACCTACTACCTACCAAAACACATCTTAGGTTACTGCTGGGTTTTTTCTACTCACTGGTTTTTTTTCTTTAATACTGTTCTATAAATAAACCCCTTTTCCTTACCAAATAAAGTTTTGAAAAACTTACCTACTGCATGAACATTTGAGGTTAATTATTTGTCAGATTCTGTAATATGGAGGATTATTTCCTGAACTTTTCGATGCCAGCTCTATCTGATATCATCAGAAAGAGAAAGTAACTCCTAATTTTGCCAGTTAGTTAGATAATTGATTACATCTGATCTCGACTTCGAGTCATAAATCACACTCAAGCATTATTTAACCCTATACTTGGCAAGCACGTTTTTTTTTTATTTTTTATATTTTTTGGGTTTTACGTATTAAGGTACAAAGGACACGGGAAAAATAATAAAAATAAAATTCTTTGTTTTTCTCTGTTTTATAAATTAAACGTATCTTTAAATACACACTGCCCAGCAAATAATAATCAACGTATAAAAATGAATGTACTTATATGGACACGAGGAGACGGACGCTAGGTTCTCCTTAAATTTATTAAGTGTTTTTTTTGTTGGCTATATCGCATGTTGCCAGAAGTTTGAGCGCTCGGTTTTGTTGCTGTAGGATAAATTGGCCAGAAATACAAACAAATCTTTATTATGATAATCATACACGCATCATAATATACTACAATCCTTTTTATGCGATATAGACAACAATAAAAAAAATATTAAATAAACTTAAGGAGTACCTAGCAATGTGTCTTTATTTTAAAATTTGAAGTAAATTATTAAGTATCTGGCATTTACATTTGGGTAATCGGCATAGTACAGAGTAATGTATAAAGTTTAAGCATGAAAAAACAGCAAAATTATCAAGAAAGTCGTTTTTACTATCAATATAACTACAAGTAATCACCATTATTATAAAAAAACAGTAATGAAATCGATAAAAATTACATGCTGGTACGTCTACGCCTGCCGTCGTTTCACCTTTTTGCGTGCTACTGTAAAATCTGTGCTGCCATTAGTGAATCTATACTGTGTTACACAATCTGTAGTATTGTAGCTAATGTTTTATAAAAAAAAACATGTACAGAGTAAAGAAAATATTAATAGAAAAAAGGGGGTCCCATCTGTTGCGTGGATTATTTTCTAGTACTTAATATTTTTTTAGATTCAAACATTAGATTATTACATTTCAGTTACATACTTAAAAAATAATTAAATAAATATGTAAATAGTTTTTGGTTTCTACCTAATATTTTTGTATTCGGAATCGTATCTTTAAATTAACATAAATAAGAAAATAGAGATAAGTATATTAAGGCAGTTATTTCAATTTTGTATAAAAACGCATTAAAATAAAATTTACTACGACCTGACAGGATGAATAGAATATATAACTATAATAACTAATATAATTTGATATAACATAGCTGACAGTGCAAAAGAAGCACTCCGCCTAGTACGTTCTTTATCTAAGGTCGTGGCCTCTGCTGTACAAGTGTTCATAAGTAGAAAATTGATATTAAACTCAACCTTAAACCATTTCTTGACTTGCAGCAGTGAAAGGCCCATTAAAATTCGTTTAGCACTGCGGTAGGTATACTTGACAGAGAAAGTCCATTAAGTTCCTTTGTTCGTATGTCATCTTCAATTTATAGCTACAAATATTGTTTACAAAGAAAACTGATTTAAAGAGACATCTCAAACGTAAATCAATCAATATCTATTTATTTCACGTTAACGTCTTTCACGTATAAATCATTTGTGTACGTTGTCAGATTAACAAATCTTTATCCATAAAGACTCTCAACTGAGCATGTGAATAGTAATTGGTTTCCCCATTACCTGATTTTGTTGTTTCTCTTAATCTTGAAATAATGCGTTACATATATTATTTCCTGAATTCTCCGATATTTCTCCTTGGTCGATTGGTATGTACGCTGGGTTTCAAGGTGTCGCTTACTCGACAGCAGGTTCGAATCCTGTTAGGGGCAGATGTTTGTGTGATGAATACGAGCGTTTGTGCTCCAGTCATGGATGTTTAATATGTATTTCTATATAAATACACTTACATATACTGATAATTTATTCTATCCGTTACCCTAGTATCCCATAACCGAAGCTTACAGTGATTACTTTGGGGCTAGGCTAATTGGTGTATGTGCTGGAAATATTTATTATTTATTTTTTTAAATACTACTTATTTTTTTCTGCCACTTACGCTACTAGAAAAAAAACGAACATTGCCATCCAGTTTTTAATTAAATATTTATAATACGCATGTTTTAATAAAATGATTATTAAAACATGCGATGCAACAACAAAATTCATTACTATAATAATATCAGAAAATATATAATGAGAAATAATAAAAAAAACTCCTCTTCTATTGTTCTACAGATAATTTGGGTGGAATAAAGATTTTAGCAATGAGTAAAGTTTTCTCTTTTCATGTTTGACATGACAATTGATTTCTAGCACAATACGCCGCCACCGCCTTTCTTTGTGCAATTATTATATGAAAAAATCTACGGCATATCAGATTGTTTAATATTTTTCGTCGCTCCATGTTAACAACTACTTAGGTACTGGAAAAACTTGCGCCCATTCTGCTATTTGTTTATAAAATTGAAAGCCTAACACAAATCTGTATCTTTAAATATTTAATGTTTTGTTTGTCAAAATGTACGAAAAACGTAACTTGTCGTGTTAAAAAACACTTATTAATTTATTTATTATATTCTTAATGCATAAGCGTTATTAAATGAGCGCAACAAAGGCGAACTCAATGCCGTAGGCATTTTCTATCAGTCAACCATAGGGTGCTGTGAACATTTAGTGCATATACGTTAATGTTTTTGTTAAATAAGGATGCTGATTGCAAAGGAGGTGTTTTTAATTCATTCATTCATATTTTTTTAATTCTGATTTCCAATTATATTTTAATGGATATTTTTTTGCATACAACAGCAACGCATGGCACGTTAACGATAGTACCTTTGCCAAATCAATTTTCCAATTGACTTAATCTAAATAATGACCTAAATATTAGACATTAAGTTTCACTTGCAGCAAAGTTTATAAATAAATTTAAAAAAAAAACAGAATCATATTTTAAACCTCATCCCATCTCTTTTGAATTCAAATAGTTAACAGGTATAAAGAACAATATGATAAACTAGTGAATTATGAATGTTGGTGCAATTGGCCTTAAACTGCTGACGACTATTCAAAATATTTATTCCGCCCTTCCTTTGTTTCCAGATAATTTGTACGTGGGGGTGACGGCTTTGGCCGCCGGCTGGGGTACGCTAACCGAGGAGGGCAAGGTGTCCTGCACGCTACAGGAGGTGGAGGTGCCGGTCATCAGCAACCAAGTGTGCCGCAGCACCAAGTACACCGCCTCCATGATCACTGACAACATGCTGTGCGCTGGGTACCCACAGACAGGAGAGAAGGATTCGTGCCAGGTTGGCTATAGAAAAAAATATAATATAACTCTTACTATTTACAAGGGCCGAAGGTCGAGGGGCAAGGTGTCCAGCACCCTCCAGATGTGGAGGAGCCTGTGATCAGCAACCAGGCGTGCTACAGCACCAAGTACACCGCCTCATTGATCACTAATAACATGCTCTGCGTCGGCTATCCGCAGACTAGCGAGAGTGACTAATGCCAGGTTGGTTGATTGACTGATTTCTTCTGTGATGGTTTCTTCAGTATGAAGTCAATGTCCGGAGCCAGGTTGGTTAAATGACTCGGCTAGGGTACTCTGATTAAGGTGGGGAAGGTGACGTGCACCCTTTTTTTTTGTGGCGCAGGCAAATCCTCATTTACAGACGACGGCGCCTTTAAGAGGCACACCGCCAAACGGACCTCACACCTGGCTCCCACAAGCCTTACGAGCCCCCGCAGTGGGTGCCCACTGAGCACCCTATAACTCTTACGGGCGCTTTACGGCATAATATCCGCTAAAAAACCCCGCGAATACCCTTTAAGCTGCTTTGTGCGAAACTGTGGGATCCTCGTTAGGGATTCTTCCGCGTCTCCGCACCCAGTAGCCTCCCGGTCTAGCCGGGGCTCCCCGGCAGGGGTCTCCTGAGGTATTGCGGGGACCCCGCATACGTGCGCAGGATGGCCCGCGCGTGGAGACTGAGTACGCAGCCTAGTGCCCACCGTACCGCCAAGGTGTCCAACCCTGCAGGAGGTGAAGGTGCCCATCATCAGCATCCAATCGTGCCGCAGCACCAAGTACACCGCATACATTATTACGGGTAACATGCTGAGAGCTGGGTACCATGCTGTGCGCTGTGTGCAATGAGTTTTGATACAGAGTTGTGGTCGTGGCCGCATACTTGGCCGCAGCCCAACCGTGTCTTTTGCAACAAAGGTTGCAACTACGGTCACTACTGGCTCTTGTTTTCAGTGAGAAGTGCCTAACACTTAGTTAGGAAGTGCCTTCCTTAATAAAATCTTTCGTAGTTTATACGAGTTTACAAATCTATACGAGTAAAATTATTTCAATTCTTATACGAACACACTATGCAGACTTAGTAGAGAGTATTCTAAGAAAAAACTTGAAGTTAGAGAGAAACACACAAAATCCACACTCCATTAACCTTTTGCAATAAGTTTTGTACCTGTTTATAACAGAGGTGTTATTGAGATATCACTTTCTACCATCTTCCAGGGCGACAGCGGCGGACCCCTCATAACGGAGAGAAAGCACGACAAGCGCTACGAACTAATAGGTAATGAATATTGATGTATTAGGCATGACACGACTGGCTATTATGTGTAATACACCTTTGCTAACACACCCTTCTTACCTGTCGAACAATAGACAATCCAGCTTTAGCTTAACTCATGCTGGTATTAAGTAATTCTATTATTTATCCACTTCTGCTAAGTAAAGTGATTTTAAAGGTGTTAAAGTCATTTTAAGTGGTTTATTCAGATTTATGGCCTGCGCAGACGAAATACTTTTGCGGACTTTTTTGTCGGCCAACGTAGATTATTATTCACTTTTTATAAACCACTGCAACATCAACTTACTAAATATAGAAGTCTGGCCTGCGATCTCTCCTTCATATTTCGTAAAATAACCAAAAACGATTGTGTACTGTTTGTTCCGTGCTTCCGTCTTTCCTTCTAATGGAAGTCGGTTAAAAATAAAGGCAGGATAATGGCAGGATGTAATACATACTTAGTTATTCACCCAAACGTACTATCAGAAAGGTATGAAAATATATTGTAATTTTTTATGCTGACAATAGACAAAACTGATAAACTTACTTTTCAAAGTAACTTATTTAAAAAAAACGGGATATATATGTATATACATTTAGAGAAGTATTATAAGTTAGAAGCTTATAAGCAGTAGGAGGAAAAGTTTTAATGTAATTTTTCTGGATAATATATTTTCCTGTATGACTCTATTAGTGAGATATTAATAGAATGTTTGTTGCAACTCTAAAGAAGATTTTCTTATTAGCATGACTGTTTAGTATAGTACGTACCCAGTCTTATTATTTGAAATTAATAGCATACCTAATATATGCCGCTGTCCTACTTTAATACTTGTACGGAAATACGAGATAAATATTATTTTGTATAGAATATTTTGCTTTTTAGATGGTGAGATAAGAGAGTGATTTAAAATATCTTCTTTTTAAACTAGGACAGCGATATACACGAATAAATCAACGTTAAATAATACCAAACAGTAACTCTATGATGAACCTATTAATGTCTCTAGTGATAGAGGCCTTCCATATGGACGGCATAGGGCGAATGAGTCATGAACAACCACATAATATCAACAACAGGTACAGTGAGAACAAGATCTTGTAGCGAGTAGTCGAAATCGGAACTAAGTTTAAGAAGGGACAATTGTACAATGTTCACCGAGAGGAGAAAGTGACCGATAACCAACGAGGGCGTAGTTTGTGGCCGGATGCGCAGACCTAACAGAACTTCAAGCGAAACGAAACCTTAATACATGACAAATAAAGATTGCAGGCTATCTAAGATCGGGTTATTAACGCTGTTATAGCTACGAATTTTTGCATGTGGTAGTAATGTGTGTGTGCGTGAAGTGCCTACATTTTAATTATTTGAATTCTCAATATTAGGAGCGAGTTCCCCAGCCTACTACCGCGGCGCGGACCTGTTGTGCGTTTGCGCGATTTCAAATACATTACGTTTTTTGTATCCAGCATATTGAAAAATATTTTTATAAAGCGCGTAATGTAATTATGTCACTTACATTAAGGTTTTTATACATCAATGGTCGCCTGTGCTAGAATGATTCGGAATAAATGTATTAGTATTAGAATCTGTCAAGGGAAGCCGATGGGAATCTTGTTCTAAAGAGGCTTCGCCACATTGTATTGCATGGCGTTCGTGCGGAATGGGTATTTACAAACTCGTGACTATGGTAAGCCCTCGACGTCTACTCGTTTCTAATAACCAACTTACCGCACTTAAACAGAATTGTATCAGAAATAACTAATTTAAACCTATAGAAGTTAATTGAAAAGAATATTTTCATATCATCTGCGTACATTGAATTGGAAAATTTTATATAATTTGGTATATCGTTGTGAGAGAGCCTCAGGGCACGCCACTGGGTACAGTGATGAAGTCGTATCTGTTACCACCTATAACTTCATTTCACCAGCAGCGGCCTCCTATCAATGTCATATAAGTGTCCCAAGATCTTGGTCGCACTATATCATGCCTGTAAGGCGCGTCACGTGAACCAATAGGTCCTGCCTGTTGTGATGGCTGAATTCAGTCACCACACAGGCAAAGGATTATTTTTTATCTGCTTTGTTCATTTTATGTCAACAGGTGTAGTGTCCTGGGGCAACGGCTGTGCTCGACCGGGCTACCCAGGGGTGTACGCTCGAGTCACCAACTACCTCGACTGGATTCATGAAAACACTAAGGATGGCTGCTACTGTACAGAATAACCGCTTTCTCATCACTAATTTTAAAAAGATGAGCAATATTTCAACTTCAAGTGTATTTTTTTTAATTTTGTCTGTGTCAAACATTTATAGTCTGACATTCGAAGAGCGCCATGTTGTCAAGTATATATTTGAATCAAACGAAAACTCGCGCTCACATACTGGGTATTTAATGTGATAATGTGACAGTACACTTGGAATATGGTAGAGCCTGCAACCGAGAATTCACCTGCTTCCTAAGAAAATTCATTCCAAACTACTTTAAGCAATATGTACGCACCTAGAGTACGTACATCTATCATAATGGGCACGGAGCTTTTCATGTGTCTCCCATTTTTCACGCATTTTGAGACGAACCCCTGTTTTAGAGACAGGGTAGGTAGGTACTAATTTACTAAATTTTTCCAAATCCTTCGCTACTCATCTTCAGTTTACAAACCTTTAGGTAAATCGTTTTAAGAAATAATAATGCAAAGATATTAATTGTGAGAAATGCAAAAACGTCTTAATGGAAACCGGGGTGAATATTATTATGTAGTAAAACTTTCAAAATACCTGTATGTATCTTTACTTTAGTTGAAACTTCAACGCATAAGCATGCATAATCACAAATTATTGTAAACATTACTCAATAAGCAAAAACATTTTTATAAAAAAAGTCATTGCCGTTGTATCAATTAGATAGAATAGAATTATCAATGATGGGTATTTTGCATTTTATATTATGAAAATGTGTATCACCGTAGTGCTGCAAAAATAAAGTTTAAACAAAATCAAAAAAAAATACATATTTTGATGCATTTAATTTCTAGTTGTAGATAAAAGAATAGTATGTAATTTAGGTAAAATTTATTTATGAATTCAGGTGAAATTTTTATTTAAAAAATACAAATCTGTTGTTTATTTACCATCTTAATAATATAAACATTATTTTTATGCAACAGTATTATTTATTATTTAAATGTATCTCGATTATTAAATTGGTTATTCGTTGTAATATATACCATATTAAGAATTAAGATTACCAGATATGTTCGTACGTATACAACATAATGCCATATAAATAAGTTTTCGTCTCAACAATTTAGTTGTAAGGGTAATCTTTATATTAGAAATGCGATACCAATAAAGTACCTCGAATAAACCATTGCATTTTCATTACATTATCATCACTATCTTTTAGATACATTTCCAAACGAAATCACTGATTTGTTTAGGTATTGGTATAATCATCAGAAAAAATAATAGTTTTAAAAACTAAAAACACGCTTTTACTTACTGTCGCTAGAGTAAAAAGTTAGAAGGGGTTCTGCCAAAAGCAAGACAGGGACTCCATGTGGGACGAGATCTACAGGGTAATAGGCCGGACTAGAACACCACCAGCCCCAAACAGTCGGTGCGCATAATGGCGGAGACCTTCTACCCGGATGAAATGGGGGGGGGCTAAAATGAGGGAGACGATCATGATGTTCACGACCCCCCATTTGTGGAAGCCGAGCTGGTGCACGCCGTATACTCGTTTAACCCGAAAAAGGCACCGGGTGGAGACGGGTTCACAGCCGACTGCTGAAATAACTCTCGCGATCTTCAATAAATGCCTAACCCTGGCCCACTTCCCGCATGGATGGAAAAAGGCCACACTCATTATGCTAAAAAAGCTGGAAAGGAACATTATTAGGAACCCAAATCATATAGGCCGATCGGGTTGTTGCCAGTTTTAGGGAAAATATTAGAAAAGATGTTAGTGCGTAGAATTTAGTGGCATATATTTCCCAAACTAAACTTTAGGCAATACGGATTCATGTTGCAGCGCAGTACAGAAGACTCCCTCTATGACATAGTCTAGCGAATCAGACGCAAATTGGTAGGGAAGAGAATTGAATTGAATTGTGGCCCTAATATCGCTGGACATAGAGGGGGTCTTAGACAGCACGTGGTGGCCGCGGATCCGTTGCCAACTCAAAACTTTAAACTGCCCAATTTTTATATATATTAAAATTGCACTCTAGGGGTAAGACTGCGTGGATTCGGGGTAAACTGAGTCATTTAAATACCCTTTTTTACTAAAGACATCATGAAATCGTATTTTCGATGTACGTAAGTATTGATTTTTTTAAATAAAAATTGATGTTTCATTATTTTTCAAACTGAAACTTACGATGAAACAAAAATATGGGTATATAACAAAACTTTGATAAAAAGTATAAAACATGAAAAGAAATAACGATGAACTGTGTTACAACAATAATATAGATAATAAATATTCGAGGAAACGAAAATGCGATGTAACCTAATTCTAGGGTTTGTTAAATATTGAAAAAAAAGTTCTGCGATTCGTTTTATGGGTAATGAAAATCGTTGATTGCGTTAAAATGATAAATTCCCGTGAAAGTGTGGTGTGTGTGTAGTGGGGCGCTTTGCACAAGCTCTCCAGATGTTGATGCCCCTAATATTCTGGGACATCTTCATTGGGGTGAGTCCATTCGCGGACCGTCACCTTGCGGTACGCGGACGGTTGCCGCGACCACACCCGCACTCCCATCCGATCTATGAATTCGGACCCTAGACATTGTCATGAAACATCGTCAATTCATGGTTGGCAAATATCTGCTTTGCTTGCTTGAGTAAAAATTTCATGATCTTGGTAATTGTAACGGTAGGGCGTCGACATTATATAAAACTGGAATTGTTTGACAAAGAATCACGATGTCAGACGATGAGAAAGTCATCGTCGGCTGGCAAGGAAAGGGCGGCTGTCTTGTCACTTACTTTTCCTGCAAGATGCTGTAAGAGAGTTCCGCTTGGGGAAGTAACCACCACTATTCTTAGTAACATTACACACACAACCTTTTGGTGGTGTTGTATTTCTGTTAGTAAGTAACCCTTGATTGGAGTAGAAAAAGATAGTCTTTCAGTGTCCTATGGTTAATGTTTTATAATTTCTTTTACATTGGAAAGTTAATCGGATTTAGCCTTTTTGCGCCCTCTGCCACACGGCGTCTAGAGCGAACTCTGCACTCGCTCTATTCTAGGGTCAACATTGGGTCCACGGGGTAGGGGTTTAGACCAGCAGGACCGTAAAAATAATCAGCGATGAAAATTTTTTTATACGACATTTTAGTGTGGTACAAGTGGATAATAAATTCCATCTATATTTTTAATGAATTCAGTATATTTTTCTACACATAAATGCATGATATGATAATACTTGAGGTACAAATTTGGGCAAAGTTGTATGGAGAAAAGAGAGGATCCTTTCTATTTGATGAAGATATCTTAATTAATTATAAAAATACATATTGTACGAAAATTTTAATGTAGGTGTAGGTTTCTATTACAGTTAAAGAGATACATGCTTCTGACAGACGGACAGATAACAGAGGTTTAATGTAAGATTTCGTTGATAGTTATACAGTTACTGAGTAAAAGTAACATTTTGTTAGCAACTTTTATCACTTCCTAATCGTAATTCAAAGCATAGGAGAATTTTAAGAGACTTATTTAAGTATACTACGCCTACGCCTAACAAAAGACTAAAAATTTACTGCGCCATTTCCATGGTTTCTTGAGCTAGGTGAAAAGCAAGGCGTGCATACCCCTGTAGGAAGGCCAAAGGGGAAGATCTTCCTCCGAGCTGGGTGATGTTAGCTCGGGGGCCCCGACCCGACTGATGTTGGTCGGGCATTGTATATATCAACTGTTGGCCGCCGAATTTCACTTGTGCGATGTAAGCTTCCATACTATTTGAGTGCAACGCCGGTAGCGCCATCTCTTGAAAAGGCGAGTGATTAATTCCTCTATGTTGGTTATATGTGGGGCATATAGATGTCGCCGCCACACCTCGGCTACATCTGCAGATTTTAGCACTAGTCAAACAAATGCATTTGGCCTGCGTGATGGTTGCTCATGGCTTGCTTTTTTACACCGTGCGACACAGGTGCCACAGGAAAAGCCTGTGTACCAGCTGTAGGGACGTTAAAAGACAGATAATGATACCAAGTTCAGAACGGTTTTTTCAGTTAAGCAATAAAATTTACACTATCCTTCGGCTGAGGTGGACTCAAGTGGTTGGGAGATTATGCTTATTTGCCATCCCTTTTACCCAAAAAAAGTGTTGCACTAGAATTAATTCCAGTAGCTTAATTCTTTTAGTTATATTCTTCACGCCGTTCATCCTAAACGCACGGAATTTTGCATGCTCTCCCTGCGTAATAATCGTAATACCTGTTTTTATTAAAAAGTGCAGTTGAAATTCTTTATTCTTATCTCAGACAAACACAATCCAATATCGCCTTTAGGGAATTGGTTTTAAGGTTGTATGTTGTCGAAGCGTTTGAGACAAAGCGAAAAATCAAGAAAGTTCAATGATCTGCGAGGTCATTGCCAAATATTACGGTCGTTCATATACAGCCTCCGAATGGCGGCTAAAATGACGCAAACCATTTATATTTAAAACTTGATTCAGCACCAAATAGAATTAATAAATTATAATAGTTTCCTATTATACCTTGTATAAAAGGGTTTTTAACTAAATACCATTTTTTGGTACTTAAATTATATTAATCATTTTTAATAATTTATTTGTATCAGTTTACTCTTACATTGGCGGTGTCTTGTCGACAGTACACGATACTTTAATATTAATATTGTTTTACATATATTTGAAAAATTAAATACCAAACAATATATATTTTTTTATGAAATGACAATAAAAAGTTTACATTAAATAAATATTGTTTCTGGTTTACACGTAAGTTAAGGTGTTTCATATATTTTTAAAGCATAAAATGTTGTCACATGCTCGTAATAAATATATAAATTCAAAATGAAAAATATCTGACAGTGTTGCCGATATTTTTGCTAAGACAGTTGTTTTTGTTAGGCGTACAACGTCAAGATGACGATGTGTTATAAGTGTTAAGCCCGCATGCAGTCAAACCGTTAGCTACATTTTAAGTGCCCTATATTCATAAAGTACTCTGACATCGAAGACATGAGTTAGTGTATCGAAAACATTGAACCTAAATTGTATGAACTTTCTTTAGAGAGTGGTTTTAGCGAAGTTTTGTTTAAAATAAATAAATAAACATGTGGCGGTTTATAGTTTTATGTGTGGTTTTGTGTTCGTGTACAGGATTTAGAATGAATAAAGTAAGTAGTTGTCAAAGTTAATTATTGTTTTTATTATAATAGTAAAAATAATTCTGCCGGTAAGTTTAAATTATTACAATATTTTTAATATGTCTAACATGAATTAAATAAACGATTAATTAGTTATCTAGATATAAACCCCTAGAATATTTAATGAAAGATTTATTTTGACAATAATGAACTGATATCACTGTAAACACTGTTCTTGCTTGACTTTCTTAAACAAAAAAACATTTTTGTGCATTTTCTTTCCAGTAACATGGGTAAACCAAAATATTACCGCCTTGATATTATTCCAAATTGAATAGTTATTTTCGAAATTTACAGGATGGTCTTATAGTCTCGGAGCAGTTTTATAAACCACCAGCTGTTTCCACACAAGAAACTTTACGACAATGCGAAGATTGCAGTAAGTAAACAAAAAACTGTAGATTTTATTAATCACACAATAGTAATAATAAAGAAGATTCTGTTTAGGAAACTTAATATTTTGACTAATTATGGATATATTTTGAATAATTGGTCGGATAGCGGAGGATGCGCGTTTGAGTACCGTCTGTTGCCTGGACCGCGTGGATTTTTTTCTAGTAAAATTTTCTTTGAATTTGACTAATGCTTATGTCATAATATGGAGAACAATCACTCGGAAACAAATGTAGGTATTGTATTGTACTGTTCATCATATATATAAATGCCACTATACTGTTTGTGAATCTAGGAACTTCGGCAGAAGACAGAAACATAGCAGTTTCTCCAAAAGTTCACAATAATAATGATACGACACTTCTTTTGATATAAATTAATAGAAAAATATGATGCATTTACGTTGTTTTAAAACGAGTGTAGAAGCAGGTGTAATTTAATAAAGATTTTTCTCATGTTCTTTGTCAAGAATTCTATAACGGCAGCGTATGTATTATATTTCTATTGCGTCAGCTGTTAATTTTACTTCCGTGGCCGAGTGGTTTGTACCCGGGTTTCAAGGTGTCGCCTACTCAGAGGTTCCGGGTTCGAGTCTCGGAGGGACAAATGTAAGTATGATAAATATGAGCATTTGTACCTAAGTCAAGGATGTTTGTATAGATTTCCATTTCCATATACATATACTTTTATTTAATATATCAGTCACCCTGGTATCCCATAAAACAACTCTTTGGGTCTAGAGTGATTGGTGTGAGTGCTAGAAATATTTATATTAACACTAGCTGCCCCAGCGAACTTCGTACCGCCATAAAAAATAGGGGTTGGTGGTAGAAGGATGAAAATTTAGGGTTGTATGTATTTTTGTATGATGTATCATAATAAAATAAAAACAAATAATTTTGTCCAAAAAAAAATTAAGGGTGGACCACCCTTAACATTTAGGGGGATGGAAAATAGATGTTGTCCGATTCTCAGACCTACTGAATATGCATATAAAATTTCATGAAAACCGGTCGTGCCGTTTCGGAGTAGTTCAATTACGCACACCCTGACACGAGAATTTTTTATATAAGATTATGTTAACCTTTTGGTTAAAATTATCTCGACTTGTAATGATATTTTCGTATCATCAGATTGTGGTGAGAGGAACGAAGAGCCCCGAGTGGTCGGTGGTTTAGGATCCAGCATGAATGCTTACCCCTGGCTGGCTCGCCTCATCTACCACAAGGCGTTCGGCTGCGGTGCATCACTCATCAACGACCGATACGTCATATCAGCAGCGCATTGTATTAAAGGGTGAGATACGAGAAGTAATCGAATGACTTATTGTGGCAAAAATATCGAGGAGTTTGTTTGGTCAGCGGCCTGGGGTCCAGTATGATCGCCTGGTTCGGTTCATCTGTCACAAGGCCTTCAGATCGCTCATTAGGAACCAATACATTATAGCAGCAGCGCAATGTATTAATGGGAAAATATACGTGTAGTAATCGAATCGATATATCGTAGCGAGAACATCGAGAAAGTCTTTTTTTTTGGGTGTGTATGCTGTTGGTCGCCGATGATGACCTTTGCAGCTTTTTGGGGACGGCGAGATCCTTAGGGGACCTCAAGCCAAGAATTGACGAGTGCCTCTAGAGGTATTCCAGGCGGATGGCATCTCCCCACGGGGGCAGTCTTCTCTCCGTCCGCGAGTCTCTAGACCACTCCAACCTGAGGGGGTCGGCTCAACTAGAGGGCGTCTCTGAGACTCGGATCTCGGCTCTAGATAGCCGTTGTCGTATGGGGGCGGGTAAAAACGCCCAGGTACGTACCTGGTATAGCGTGTCGTGTGTAGACCGGGTCTTCGCACTCTTATCCTATAGGAACAGTGTCTGCCTAATGCTAAGCTAAGCTAATGTGCAAGTGTGCTAGCTGTGTAGCAATAAAATCCGAATTGTCGGCAGTATATTGTCCAGCATGAACACTTACTACTGGTTTGCCTCATCTATCACAATGCGTTCGGGTGCGACGCATCGCTCATCAAAGACTGATACGTTATTTCAGTAGCGCATTGTATTAAAGGGAAAATTATTATATACGAGAAGAAATCGAATGATATATTGGTCTCTGGACGAATATTCTTACCACAAGGCGTTCAGTTGGTGAGATGATAACATAATAATGGGGTTTCTTATTTTCTTAATAGTAATATATATGTGAAAAATAAGTTTGATCGAGTTAGTAGGTACATAATTATACGTCTTTATATTTTTAATTGTGAGTTTATCGATGACATGAAATTCATACTTATGGCCACTTAGTGGAATATGCAGCATGCTACCTTTCATGCTATGATAATTTCATTAATAAAGAACAATACGTTAAAATTTTGCCTTACCTAGCATATTGTGTCCAATACTTTTAAAGTCATATTATTTTAAACTGCCGCTTCAGCTAATTTACAAACTTTTTTTGATTCAACTCCACTCATATTTAACATCAGGTGGGATTGCTAATTTGCAGTATTTCACGATGAATGAATGAATCAATAGACAAGAAGAAGGTCCGTCGATCCTGTAAGAGAAATGTCAAGTGCTAATATATGTTATAATCATTACAGTTTCATGTGGTTTATGTTCCGCGTGACGTTCGGCGAGCACGACCGCTGCGAGCGAGGGAGGCGGCCGGAGACCAGGTTCGTGGTCAAAATGGTGGCCCACAACTTCACGCTGTCTGACCTGAGCAACGACGTCGCGCTGATGAAACTAAACAAGCCCGTTGTGTACTCGCACATAATCAGACCAGTGTGCCTGCCAAGAAACCCTGGTAAGTCCTAGATAAATAGAAGAACACTATTAATTTATTTTTCTTCAAAAAAGCAAAATACTGGGACCAGGTGTGCCGTTAAGATAGTGGTCCACAGCTTTACGCCTTTTGACCTGAGCAATGCCGTCGCGCTGATGAAACTCAACACGAGCCCGTCGTGTACTCGTTTAAAGTCAAACCAGTGTGTCTGCCTAAAAATACTGGTGAGTTCTAGAAAAACAGAAGACGACAATCAATCTCCTTTTCTTTTAAAAAAGCAAAGAACTGAGACCTGCGCTGCTGAAACTCAATATAATATATATATATATATATATATGCTAAAATACCGAATATGAAAAGTAAGTACGGACTCTTATAGATTTTCACTTGGCAACAACTATTCTTGGGTACAAACATATTTATCTTCACGTTATTCTTTTAAACCTAATTAGTTATCCATTACGTAAATATATTGTCAATTTACCTCATTTCACAAGAATTTTAAGGGTAAGGACCCAGCCTGGAGATAATGTAATAGTGTCAACGTTGCTTGAATAATTGAACAGAATACTTTTACTTGTATGTAAATTAGTTTCGTAGGAATAAGGCATTACTTACGCAAACAGTTTCCTGTTAACTGCATTTTCCTTTAGAGAATTATTTTTGGTAAACAATCTCCTAAAATGTACCTAACCTAACGGAAGTTGACTCCTTGAGTGAGTTCTTTTGCGTCGTTCGTGCAAAATCGGTATCTTTATGACTAATTTCGCCTAACTAGGTATAGAGGAAACCATACAAAACTACAAAATAGGTACTTACTATTACCAAAAAAAAATGAGACAGGTATTCACCAGGAGTATTAGAAAAAAATCTTATACAAAATTTGAATAAATATGGCGTATTACAGTTTCTATTGTTATTGTTGCGGAGTAGATACCATGTTTTCGGTGAAAAGTGATTTTGTTGTAACATTTCAAATTTTATTAAATAGTTTATACCTATCTAATAAGTTTCAAAGGTTCGCTAATCCTGGCTTAGTCATTAATTATTCTAATCAATATTTGTACACGTACTTACATAGGTATCTTTTTGTGGTGCAAATACTTATGGTCTTACATTTTGCAATTAAAGTTTTTATTAGTAAGTAGTTTTTAAAACTTATATATTTACTGAAACTGTCTAACTCTGTTAAGTAAACACCTACGTGGGAGTGACTGCGATCGTAGCTGGTTGGGGCGCCACAGCCGAAACAGGGAATTGGTCATGCAGCCTTCTGGAGGCTGAGTTACCGGTGCTCAGCAACGAGGACTGCAAGAACACCAATTACAACGCGTCCAAGATCAAGGAGGTGATGATGTGTGCGGGCTACCCAGCCACTGCTCATAAAGACGCGTGTACTGTGAGTATAAATTACAACAGGTTCCAAAATCCCTAAGCGGAATCCCGCGGTTTCGCACTAAGCAGCTTAGAGGGTATTCGCAGGGTTTTTTAGCGGATATTATGCTGTAAAGCGCCCGTAAGAGTTACGGGGTCCTCAGTGGGCAGCCACTGCGGGAGCTCGTAAGGCTTGCGGGATCCAGGTGTGAGGTCCGTTCGGCGGTGTGCCTCTTAAAGGTGCCGTCGTCTGTAAATAGAGGTTTTGCCTGGGTCACAAAAAAAGGGCTCCACGGGGTAGGGGATGGGGTCAAGTTAGGCAACGGCGCGAGTGATATTTTTTGTATCGCAAGGATCTATACGCTATGGCCGCTTATTATCAGGCGTACATTTGCACCATCGGCCTTTGATTGTTGCCATGAGTTTCCATTTTGCAACGAGGCTGTGCAATAAAAGTTAAATGTTTATTTTATAGTTTAACTTTCATTAGTATTTAATATTCCTTTCATCATCATCATCATCAACAGCCTATCTTAGTCCACTGCTGAACATAGGCCTCTCCAAATGCACGCCACTCAGATCCATCTTGGGCTACTCGTATCCTATATATATTATCCTTATATATATCATCGCATATTCCTTTATTTATATTTTATTCTTTTCGTTGGAACAAGGTTGAAACTAACAGAATTCTGCTCTTGTTATAGGGTGATAGCGGGGGTCCACTAATAACAGAAAATGCTGATCTGGCGTATGAATTAATTGGTAAGATTCTATATCAAATAAAATCTAATTGCTGACTCTACAAACAACTAGATGTTACGATGTAAATTTTACATTTACCTCAAGAGGATTTGATCCGAGTTGTCAGCAACTGGATTTATCGGTCTTGCTTGCAAAAAAAAAAGTCCTAAACTAAAGCTTAATTTTTAATTTAGAAAATCTAAATAATTTTAATTTAGATTTTCTAAATTAAAAATTAAGCTTTAGTTTAGGACATCACTTTATCCTTGTCAACCCGCGTCGGCCGTGTTGCTATATGATGTCAATTGTGTCAACTATTTAATTCAAAAGGGATGGAAGGACATGATTTTGTTTTAATGTTTTTTAAGAACTTTTGTACAAGTGCGCCTGTATCAATTGTTAAGTGTTTGTCATTAAATTCATAAATTGATAACCTGAAAATAGAGAATAAGCGTGTATATTCTAATCAACGAATTAAAATCATTTTTCCTGTTCGTTGGTTTTAATAAAATAAATCTAGAATTTGTAGAGGGCTCAGGTGAAGTTCTTTTTTAAGTGAACTCAACCCTTATACAAATTACGTCTTTTAAAGGTGTCGTGTCGTGGGGATATGGATGTGCCAGAAAAGGGTATCCAGGTGTCTACACTAGGGTAACGAAATACCTGGATTGGATCAGAGATAACACTCAGGATGGATGTTATTGTAAATATTGAATAGCTTATAATATTTATTTAGTGTTAATTCGCATGTTTTATAACCTCGCTCGAAATGAATGTCATACAATGTGATGATAAACGAAAGTGTTCTGTACTTACTCTTTTGTTTTATTTTGTTCCTATAAAAAATATAACACCTTTAAATAAAACAAGAATTCTGAAGAGGATGCTTTTAGACTTTAGATTTTTACATTCGAAATTTTAAAGAATATATAAAAAAACACTAAGATTTTAAAGCAGGTTGCAAATAGTAGAATGTTAGCCTTGTAAAAGTTCAAAGAACCGGAATAAATAATAATAAATAAATATTTCCAACACTCACACCAATTAGCCTAGCCCCAAAGTAAGCACTGTAAGGCTTGTGTTATGGGGATACTGGGGTAACGGATAGAATACATACACAAATAAATATAAAAGTATATTTATATAGAAATATATATGAAACATCCATGCCTGGAGTACAAATGCTTGTATTCATCACACAAACATCTGCCCCCACCGGGACTCTAACCCGGGACCTCTCGAGTCGGCGACACCATGAAATCTGGCTATACAAACCACTCGGCCATGGAGGTCGTCAACGAATGAATAAAATAAAAAAAATTCGATCAACATGTGGTGAGCGATTTGGAATCATTTTACATAGCTAGAGTGTATTGTAGCGATAACAATAAAAAAAGGTTATTCATCCTACTTCCACGTTCGCTGACTGAACGCCATCTAGCTCCTCCGAGAAAATTATTCTTAGAAAATATTTTACTCATCCTAGACATCACGATGGGATAAAACCAAACGGCAAAAACACGGGCCTTTATGTAACCGTTTATACATATATATTATGTTGTTAATTTTCAATTCAATTGTAGAAAGAAGAATTCTAGAAACTTTTACTAAAATACAAACTTACTTATATATTTTCTGTTAATTTAAAAAGTCACGTTCATTGAAAAAATATATATCTCGTGATGCATCAAATAATATTTAATAGTGGAATTATCAAACTAGTTAGTTTCACTTTCGGAAGGCTGCGTGCTCAAAACGGAGCCTACTTCATTATCGATGCACCGAGTGCAACGCACCCATCTTTCCTGTTCTAGTGCTAAGCGAACCAGTCGGCCCCACGAATTCCCCTTATTCACATACTAATTCTAAGAAAGTCAGGAACAAAATGAATTGGCACCTCCTTGTTTTATACGTTTCCTCGACATTCGCTGTGGTGAGTCTGCAATGCTTTGTAGCGCATACAATAATGTGTTAATAGCTTCCTCATTCGTATGAAGACGTTAACAGTGTTCTAAGTTTAGTGTTAAAGTTTGATTTGTCGATAAGGTATTCCCGGAAAATGCTACGAAAGTTGAACATGACTCAGGATTTGAAGAGAAGCGAACGTGCGACTGTAGTAAGTAGTGACTTTTTATTACTAATTTTTTTTTTCATTTAATTTAAATACGAATACTGTACTAAAAAGAAACATACGATTTTATTGACATGCCCATGAAGAGTTTGATATATTCTAATTATATTATTTGAAAGATGTAGATAATGATGAGAAGTACATATCGGTCACACTTTTTTCAATTTAATAATGCTTCAGTACTCAAGCATGATACCATTTCTGTACACTTAGGCCAGTATTAATAGATCGCTCTTACAGTCTCATCTCTGAGAGTGATCTTGAAATGCTTTAGTACGGGCCTTGCAAACAATCAACCGAGGAAGTATAGAAATATGAAAACTTTCAAAATAAAGCAAACGTGGGTATCGTGGCACACTCGATTAGAATGAACTTAAAAATAACATATGTTTAAGTACACAGGCACTACACATAAACTGCTACAAAACAACTGTCGGTTGAAACGGAAAAATCTTATACTTTTTTCGCCCCCATCCGCTAAGTCGATCCCTCCGAAAAGGAACATTTTGTCTGTAAGCAGATAACATACAATTAGTTTATACTGAAATGAATAAAAAAATCAGGAAAAATATATTCTTAAAATATTATGTCACACGAAATTTTATAATTAGTGGTCAATAAAATCTAACCTATTATAACGATCTTACGGTTGTCTTCGTTTTTTTATGATATTAGTTTTTATTTAATTACGAGTATTTGTGAATTTACAAAACTTGTAAACCGGCAGTTAAATAGATATAATTTTATTCTCGATAAATTTCTATGTCCTAAGGATGTGGAGTTCGCAACGAAGCGTCCCGCATCATCGGCGGCGTGGAGACGGCGGTGAACGAGTTCCCGTGGGTGGCACGCCTGTCCTACTTCAACAAGTTCTACTGCGGCGGCATGCTCATCAATGACCGATATGTTCTAACAGCCGCGCATTGCGTTAAAGGGTATGTTTTATAGCAGCCCTGACCTGTCGTGGATGGACACTCACGTCGCCCTGGGTTGGTGACTTTCAAGGTTACTAGCTTATCTCTTAACTTGGCATCTTGTAGTATGGTTTTATCCTTTATACTCCCACCAGTGGCTGCGTAGCCAGTCCTAACCGGGTGCCAGGACCACACCCGCACTCAGAGCACACACCATAGGGACTTAGCTGGGATGGCAGGACTAATTCCATTCCTCGCGCAAAATAGGGACATGGTGTGCAGTTGCGGAACAGCCCGTCGTACTACTAAGCGTGCGTCACGTGTCCCATTAGTATGTGGAGTTCGCAACAAAGCCTCCTGCATTATCGGCGGCGTGGAGACAATCAGCCCTGAAACACGATCTTCGTTTCTTTCTCGAGGAGTTTGATGGCGTAGGTAGTTAGTGCGTTCGGTCTGCGATCATGGAAGTTAAGCTACGTTTGCCATGACCACAAACTTACTGTCTCGAACTCCGCCGTACTTAGCAAGGCACGTTGAGCCGGTGGTCCCGGCTGTATTTGCAGCCATTACCATTCGCCCATCCGCACTGGATCCGCGTGGTGGGCCATGGCTCATTCTTCCTATTCCATCCGTAGGGAATGCTTGTGTTCCACAAATGATAGATGTAAGGTAAGGTGTGTAAGGTAATAGATGATCATCAGCTTATGAATGTGGGGGCATAATCTAAAGTTCCTAGATTGCCTCGTAAGCTTGGCTTCTAGTAGTATATGGTCTTAGAATTAATACTCACACCAGCGGCTGCGTAGTCAGTCCTAACCACTCTGGGCACGCACTGTAGGGATTTCGGTACTTAGAGTGCGTGTCCCAATAGGATGTGGAGTTCGCAACGAAACTTCCCGCATCATCGTCGACGTGTAGGCGGCGGTCAACAAGTTCCCGTGGGTGGCACGCCTCTGCTACTTCAACAAATTCTACTGCGGCGGCATGTTCATCAACGACCGATATGTTCTCCCAGCGCATATCTAGAAGAAAATAATCGGTGAAAAACACAGGCCCAATATGGTTTCAGGTCAAAAAGATCTATTGCAGATGCAGTATATGAACTCCTAATATTATAGTTACTAATGTGGATAATAAAAAGAAAACTTTGGCTATATTCCTAGATATTAAAAAAGCGTTGGACACAGTCTCTATTCCCCTCTTAATCAGAAAGCTTGAAGGGCTTGGTATCAGAGATGTACAGTTGAAGCTTTTCATTGAATACCTATCCAATCGCAGTCAGTGTGTTAAGATAGACGAGATACTAAGTGACGAATTACCTGTAACATACGGCGTGCCATAGGAAAATTTAATGGGACCCCCCTTGTTTTTGGCTTACATAAATGATCTGTGTCAAATGGATCTACCACATGGGAAAATTTTAACTTTTGCTAATGAAAGAGCTTTTTAGTGGTGACTCCTGGGATGAGGTAAACGCGAATGTTCAAAATGGATTTAATATAGGTAGTAGCAAGATGGTTAAACAATATTATCCTAACACTCAATGTCGAAAAGATTAAATATATAGCATTCTCCTTGAGATAACATAAATCCTTAGATTCACAATGTGATTTAATTTACCATAATTGTGATAATTTTACAGGCAGTGATTGCAATTGTACTCGTCTCCAAGGAACTGAGGCAATTAAGTATTTAGGTGTCTTCATTGACCATAAACTTTACTTCCAAAACCATATAGACAGGATCACAGCACGACGACGTAAACTAATCGTTATATTTCATTAGGACATGTTGTTGAAGAGAATGTAATAAAGTCGTTTTACTACGCGCTTTGTCAATCTTTACTATCCTACTCAACTGCATCACCAACTGGGGAGGTGTTCCAAAAACCACTCTTATAAAATTGGAAAGAGCACAGAGAGTCATACTAAAAATAGGTTATTCATTGCCTTTCTATTACTCGACGGTAGAACTCTATAGAAGATCCAAGGTATAAACTGTTCGGCAGCTTTTTGTTCTCCAAATTGTATTAAGACAACATTCAATAATGACATTCATATATCATTATTGAATGTTGTTGGCTCATGCCAAATGAAAATAAAAATACATGTAGAAAATGATACATTAGCCAAATAAATAGATGTATTACTGTATTCACGCAGAATTTTTTTTTGTTATCAGCGTATAATTGTACAATAATATAAAAAAGAACGAATGATAAATCCGTGAAAAGTAGCAGCTTGTAAAAATTTGTTAAAGACTGTGTTCAAGCATTAAGCTATGCAGACACAGAAAACCTGCCTAGCAATCTTAAATACATTCTGATAAGTAACCAAAATTTTGCTTATAATAAAAAATATCATGCATTTATAAACAATTCAGATTTTTTTCCCTTACCCTTCAAATTTCTTGTACTTACCATAAATAATATTATGTAATACAGGGTCACTATGGTTATTAACAACAACGTATGGATTCTTTTCCAGGGGTAAGGAGCTGGTGATCCGTAGTACAGGTTAACGCCTATTACGGACATCAGCATCTTACAACGCCTAATAAAATTATTCAAGTGTTGCTTTACCTGTATTGTAAGTGCCTTAATTTATTGGAAGAAGACGTAAAATTATTGTTATTATAATAATTAAAATCCCATACAGGTATGTGTTTTTTCTCAGATTCATGTGGTTTATGATCAAAGTGACCCTGGGCGAGCATGACCGCTGCAACGAGACCACTCGCCCGGTTACCAGATTCGTGTCAAAGTTGGTGGCGAACAATTTCACCTACACCACTTTCAAGCATGACATCGCTCTTCTGAAGCTAAATGAACCAGTTGAGGTCACCGATGAAGTGAAGCCAATCTGCCTGCCGCATGCTGACGGTTAGTGTCATATGAATCTCAAGGCTTATTAATTGTACTCCAAATTCCGATATTGGTCTTTTCCTCCATTTGGCAGTTTAATTTAGAAGTTGAATGGTAATGTTTCGGATTACAGTAAAAAATAAATACAGTAGGAATTAAAGCGATACGGTTTTTTTTTACTTTTTGACTAGGTTACTACCTCAGTCAGTTATTTTCAACATCGGTATGGATATTTAAAAAAAAAAACTTCTAGCGTAGGTACACACACATAAAGCATATTTGTCAAGTGAATACATAACTTTCTTCAATTTAATAATTTCTTCGTTTCAGACAACACCTTTGTTGGTGTAAAAGCAATAGCAACAGGCTGGGGTTCGGTCACTGAGGAGAAGAATCACTCTTGCCGTCTTATGGAGGTTGAGCTGCCCGTGCTCAGTAACGAAGTGTGCAAGGCCACTAAGTATGACTCCAAGATGATCGCAGACAGCATGCTGTGCGCTGGCTACCCGGAGACAGGGGGCAAAGACTCGTGTCAGGTGTATTTCTAATTAATATCAATAAGAGAAGCCCTATTGCACAGGCAGTTAGCACGTTCAGATTGCGATTGTGAAAGCTAAGCAATGATGAATGAAGTTTATATTTTTTGCAATGGCCTGTCACTCGATGGGAGACCAAAAACTTGTTTCCTCGAACTCCTTTCTATTCAGAAGACACTATAAGCAGTTGGATCCAGCTGCATCTTTAGTCGTTAACATCTACCGAACTACATTGTACCCGCGTGGTGGGTCACGGCCAAATCTTCCTATTCCATCCCTAGGTTAGGATTGTGCCCCGGCAGTGGGAACATTAATTAATAGACTGATGATGATGATATTGTTAGGTGCAGTATCCTTATAACATAAAATCATTAATAAAGACAACGCTTTCACTAAGAACAGAACCAGGCCCTCATTTAGTGATGAATGAAAAATTGTCTTCTTTAATTTTTACTTTTAAACCGTTTTAAAAAAGAAGGAAGTTCAACTGTTTTCTTTTATCAAAATATTTAAAAAGCATTTGACAAAATTTCAGGGAGATAGCGGAGGACCACTCTGCGCAGAGAGACGGGACAAGCAGTATGAATTATTAGGTAAGATGTCTAAAGAAATACTTTCGTATTCAGAGAGGTCAATTAAATCAAATCACACTAATATTATAAAGGCGAAAGTTTGTGAGTGTGTGAGTGTGTGAGTGTGTATGTTTGTTAGTTCTTCACGTCCAAACGGCTGGAGCGATTTTAATAAAATTTGGTATGGAGTTAGCTGACACACTGGATTAACACGTAGGCTATATTTTACTGCGGGAAAACATCCCTAATAAACCGCGGGTAACACCGCGGGGCACAGCTAGTATTTCATAAATACAAGTGCTGTCTTATTTTATTGTAAATCGAAAGTCAGTGATACCGCTGAATGACGTTCGACAAAATACATAAAAGTTAATTGACATCTCCGATTCTTAGTGATTCGTTACTCAAAAGTAAACCTACTTATCTAAGTAACTAGGTACATAATATTGAAAAAAGGAAAGTCAAGACTTCGAATATATAAAAAACAATTATTAATAAGCAGCAAACTGCATGATTTATATGTCTAAAGATTTTTCTTCTAAAAAATATAAAGCCATCAAAAACATAACTTGTAAAAAAGCCAAGATTCGCAACTCAGTTCTACTTCTTCTACCGTCAAAAGTTGTGAGATCCATGCCATTTCGGTTAAATACATGTTTGCAAGTTTGATGTCAACTTTCAATTGGACGACACTGTATGAAGTAAAACAGGGAGAAAAAATCAGCCCTTGCTGAGTTTCTTGCCGGTTATTCTCAGTACAAGGTCCCCCACCGTAGATTTGCGAACCGATGGCATAGCTTTTCGACATTCACAAGTGCTTGTAACAGCCTAGACTGAATAAACGATATTGTTTTTTTTTTAATTTTTATTGCCAACGTAGTTATAAAGGGTTGAAAATGGCCTGAACTGTTTCGAGAAAAGGATAGTACGGCCGTGCCGCTTGCTCGACTTGGCCGGGGCACTGCCCCCTGTTATTAATATTTTGGGAAGCGATTAGCTTTTTTATCAGGGAAATATCTTAAATTTCTTATATTTTCAGGAGTAGTGTCTTGGGGTGTGGGTTGCGGCCGCCCAGGTTACCCCGGAGTATACACAAGGGTCACCAAGTATTTAGATTGGATAAAAGACAACGCAATTCATGGTTGCTATTGCACTAATTGAACAAATAATAACAATAAGGAATTCCACATTATGCCGAATGAAATTATAAATGCGGTATTTTGGGTATTTGTTCATTACGATTAAATATATTTCATTATACATCATATTATACATATTAGTAGCTCAGTACTGTAATTGCACAATGCAACATTTTAACTTATTAAACAGTAAACTTTTAATATAAGTTGTATTGTGTTTTCTTTTTAATTTTAGTATAAATGTAAGTTAATATTTAATCTTTATGTAAAAATATACTTGAGAATGACTTTACCGATTTCATTCACCTTTTTTAAGTTTTCTAATAAGTACCCATTCTGTATAATTTTTTTACGAAAAAAAAGAAAAATATAAGTTGTGCAAAAATAAAGTGAACGGGGACGAAGTCGCGGGCGGGAACTAGTCTTTTTATTACGCATCCTAGTTTCTTGAAAATGATAATGCTGTAACTTGAAAATGAGTTTTCCGATTTCAATTTCAACAATACTTTGATAGTAGTTTTTTATAGTTTTATAAAAAGCTACTATCAAAGTATTGTTGTATACTATAGTTTTTGTTCTCAGGTATAATACATATTACATAAACCTTCCGTGAAAAAATATCTAACTAATATTGAAAATTTTGTTGCTTAGTACCCGTAGTACCAAAGGCACCATAGCTTTGCTGTTAAAAGTTTGTCCCCCTTACCATTGGACAGTACAGTACCAAGAAAGACAACCTATTTACATATATATAAATTTAAAATAAAAAAATTGGGTGTACGGACATACACATCTGAAGTGAAACTTCTTTTCTTAAATAACCTCATATTAGGCGGTGCATAAGGCATAGGGGCATCCTATGCACACACACACACATATATGTATAGTCGTGTGATGATCGTGACGCATTTCCGTTTCATCTTTTCCATAGGATTTTTCCATTTACACCCCGTCCGAAAAGAAAAAGTAATTTTTAGTTTTTAAGCTAACAACAATCAGACCGGGAGGTCAAACTTTAACTGAACTTAATAGTCAAAACAATTTCCAAAGTTTAAAACTATCGATAAATAACAGGTCAAGAGTGACATAAAAAGTGGTTTTACCGCAGGCGCTATACAACAAAGTAGTTTTTTTAATCGTACGAAAATGATTGTAATATTAAAAGAAACACTCCATACTAAACTCTCTGACTAATACCAAATTAATTCATAATCATTTGAAGAGCAGCCACTATTGAAAATGATGTAACGACATGGTAACCATTCCACATAAATCACTCTTATCAATACGATAATGTATAGGTACATACTCTGTTGTTTTTAATTAGGTGCCGTCCATTTTTGACTTTCTAGTATAAAGTAAATAAAGGTTTCCAAATTCATTACCCGCATAATTACCGATTTGGTGTTTATTTGTGAGTAATAGTATTTGGTGTTCGAACATTGTACGTTTTTGGCGTCGTGGAAACATAGGTTGAATGTGTCATCGTTAACTGTGAAACCAACATGTTATTCCTAATGTTATATAGTTTTTATTTTATTCAATTAGCAGTAAGTAATACGGCTTTTTGTATATTGAATTCTCAGACTCAGTGTAACTATTTCTATTAACTAATTCTCAGTGTACAAAAGTGATTTTATATTGTATTTCAAAAAATATTTTACAGACCTCCTTGGGCACCAGCAGCTTATTCGATTTCGTATTTGGATTCCAGAAGTATTGCTTATGTCGTAAGTTCATCTCAACTATGTATTACTACATATTGGTGTGATTGTGATTCCAAAGTTTTGACTAACCAAATAAAAGTTAAGTTAAACTTATGATTATAGAAACAGCCGGAACTTATAAGAATAGCTTTAACATTCAACTCAGGAGCACGGAATAGCTCAGCATAATCGATTTATGGTTAGTTTTATTTAATTACAAGTTCCTACGAAAGCTTCTTTACGGGTTTTTTGACTATGGCGACTGATGATGAAAAATAAATCTCTTTGTACAGACAAACAGAGTCAACAAAAATTGGCAAATCTCTCCATCTAAATGTAAGCTTTATCTTTCCTCGCATAAGATCTACCAACGAATGAGAAAATACTTTGTATTGTTGGCAGTATATTAAATTTGGTATGATTGTTCATGTTAATTTTTTCGTGAACAGGTTGTGGTCTTGCGAGGCACATATCTGACAACGTGAGAGCAGGTCGTCTGCTGGGAGGTGAATTTATTTATCCCCATCAGTTCCCATGGCTAGCGACAGTGAATGCTGGGTCCAGCAGCGCTGTTGGATCTTTGATATCCGATAGGCATATCATCAGTGCTGCGTCTCCTCTTTACGGGTAAATACGATGACTTTTTTTGAGATGGTATTAATTTAAAAGTTCCAGCTGCTATTAAGAAGTGCTTTGTTCACAACCACTATTTAAAAAAAGTTGTTAAAACAAATTAAGGCATAATCGTGCTTAACACATAATTTTTCAATTATTTAAAGCTAAAAAGAGAAAGAATGAGGCTTGAACATGATAATAGATAATTACCTAGTTCTCGTAGCGAAAGTTCTCGAATGGCGATAGCGACTGTTCATCAGACGACGCTCAGTGGGTAGGCTATTCATGTGGTGCACCGACGATCTGGTGAATGCGGCGGGAACTTGCTGTTGGTCGCAGATGACCTTTACAGCTTTACCGGGTTTAGGTGGCTGGGAGCTCTAGTGGTTTTTCAGGCGGAAGCCCGTTGGGCAAGTAATAATACCTTCGCCGTAGAGTCATTAGTCCACTTGAGCCTGAGAGGCATCGAGACTGGGATCTGGGCTTTAATTAGCCGATATTGTAGTTATCCTTGGAGCGGCTCAGCACTTCAGCAGCGTGCGGCGTATGACTGATACGATGATATTTCTATACTGGCATTTAGTTTTTCAGCTGGTAATTTGACTGTAACATTGGGAGCTCACGACCGTTGCGGGGAAGGAGATCCAGCACTGGTTAACAGCGTGTCCTCGCTGTCCATCCACCCAGGCTACTCTCCGACAAATGGCGACAATGACATAGCATTACTGAGATTGAGACACACTGTTGCATTCAATGACTTTGTGTCTCCAGTGTGCATGCCTCTTTACGGTGAGTGTACCTATGAATTTTGTATTGTATTTTTGATAATCTTTACGCACACACCCCCTTATTAATAAACATAGAATAAGCTTGGATTAGTTACTCCATGTTTTCTCTGTGCATTGAATGGCAAATCGCACTTCAGTGATATGAACAAAACTCAGTGTAACTATCTAATTTATTCCTGACACACTTGTTGAAAAAAAAAAAACCTTTTCATATTTTTCACTTATTAATTTCATAATTATACAACATTAAAAAGCAGGATTTTTTGAAGTGAGTTGTTCGCTGTACTGCTATAATGAAATTCTTTATTCGAATTCAGCCCCTTATTTCAGTCCTACAAATTCTTTCTTTTAAAGAGACTATTGACCGAAAAAGGTCCGTCTACTACCAGGCCACTCAGAAAGTTTTGCGAAAAACAAGTTTTTAAGTATAAGACACTGGTCGCTTGTAATTATATTGAAAACTTCGATTATTTAAAAGTAAAAATACCACTGTTCGATTTTCAAATTTCACTCCGCATTTTTGAGAGCCAATTAAATTTTTCTTGTCTCATTAAAAATGGATCTGCATCGAAAACATTTTCATGCTATGATTTTTTACGATTTTAAATGTGGCTTAAAACCTGATGTCATTTGATCGATTTGGAACTGCTTTTACGGATGAAGGACCTTCAAAAGCAACCATTTACTGCCGGTTTAGCGAGTTCAAACGCGGCCGTCTTACTTTTGGGGATGAACAAAAGAATGGTCGTCCTACGACCAATGAAAGTGTGCTGGCAGTAATAAAATTAATTCAACAAAACAGACGAATTATGTACGAAGAGATTCAGCATACTCTGTAGATTGGTTCAGGAAGTGTTCATAAGGTTTTGCACGAGCACCTTTGCGTAAGGAGAATAGTTTCCCGCTGGGTGCCGCACAACCTCACCGAAGCTCAGAAGCAGGCCCGTGTGGATTGGTGCAGTGATATGATACAAAAAATTGATACAGGCTCGTCACGGCGCGTTTACAGTATTGTGACAGGTGACGAATCCTGGATTTATCAATACGATCCAGAAACAAAGCGTCAGTTGACAGTTTGGCTGTTTCAAAATGAACCACCGCCTACGGAAGTGAAGCGATCGAGGAGCTCAGGGAAAATTTTGATCGCTAGTTTCTTCACTTTGACAGGGTACTTAATTTCAATTCCACTTCGAGACCAAAGCAGCATCAACGCCGAATAGTATAGCACAAAATGTCTGCCAGAAGTTTTTTCTGCAATAAGCAACCGCCCGCGCACTCTGGGTCAAAACGAAGGACTTCCTGGACTCCACACCAGTCAAAGTCTTGGGACACCCTCCTTACAGTCCTGATTTGGCTCCGTGTGACTTTTTTTTATTCCCTAAAATAAAAAATCAGCTAAAAGGGATACAGTTTTCATCGCCGTCTGCGGAGGACTGGAAAAAATGTTTTGGTAATTGGTTCAGACGGATGAAACTTTTTATAGAGGCTGGTGGAGAGTTCTTTGAAAAGATTTAATAAAAATATTTTTTTCATAGAAGTTAGTTTTTTTGTTTCTCAAAACTTTCTGCGCGTCCCACGTATTATCACGTTTTGATTTCACTTTATCTACACTCTTGACTATGATTTGGAATTTTCTATAAAAAAAAAATAATGAGCTCTTTTACAAAAAAATCGATGGATGAGTGATGAGATGACAGAGATACAGACTGACTCCTAAATATTAATTAAACACTCAAAAATACAAATTACTTACTAATATTTAAATGAAATTCTAGGATCAGAAGAACGCGGTCGTATCGCCTGGACCGTTTCCTGGACTGAATATCCCGGGAACTCCACCTGTACTCCACGCGTCACCAGTCTACCGATGCTGTCCAAACGATCTTGTCTCGCAGCCACCGACGAACCTGCTCTGACGACTGCAGACAAAGGTTGTCTTGGTCCTTTAGGCTCGAAGAACGTTATTTGCAAAGTTAGTATGGGCTTATTTTTTTTTCGGGTGTACTACGGAGCGAATACAAAGAGATGATGTTGTATAAGGGTTCGCTACATTGGTTAAAGCCATGCAACATGCAATATAGCAGTTCATTTTATTTGCTCCTTGGGTTGTACCAATATTATTGTAACATTTGTATACTAATATGATAATTGCGAAAGTAACTCTGCTGTTCTGATGTTCCATTTTCATGCCTAAAGCGCTGATTAGTTCAGCGCTTTTGTTTATTTTTTTGTTCAAAAGCGGCTTTTAAGAAAGATATAGGCTACTTTTTGTCCTAATAAAATTAAGCACTAGCCCCCACAACCCC